TTTTTTTTTTTTGTGGATAGATGATATGGTAGATATTAAACTATTATGTAGATCCATTTTATATATATACTGCATAATATTTTGTCGGAGTTGTTGACATTAAATGTTGAGTGTGGTGATAAAGTGCAATGCGTTGTTTTATAAGATGCAACGTGTTGTTTTATAAGGTGCAACATTTTACTATATGAAGTGCACTTATTTATTCCTTTCTAGGTAAATTATGTGTATTTGAAAACTAGTTTAATATATATAATTGTATATCGATCTAACCTAAATAATTAAAATATTTTTTATTTTATTAGTTTTATTATATAATTTCTTTGTTATTATAAATTAATTTTATATTATTTTAATATCTTATAATATTTTTATTTAATAATTCAAAAAATGTATTTTTATTTTTTATCGATCGATTAACCAAATTATCCTAAATAATGTAAATGAAAATTTATTTTATATTATAAAAAATATTTAGTATTTTAAAATTTATATTAAATTTATAATATTTTGTTGAAATTACATAATATATAAAATATCCAAACCAATAATATGCATTCACACATAAAATAATGTGCATTTCATCTCTCATTATTGTGCAACCTAACATAAAATATTTCAATAACATTATTTTACATTTATTAAATTATTTATGCAATAAACATATATTTTAGTAATGTTAATTTTTTGTGTGTGCATTTGTGCATATTTCAAATAAAATATTGTGCATTTGTACATTTTTATTCATCATTGTTTTTTACATATTAAAGTCTCCATAATTAGTGAGTTGACCAAGAATCAATATGCAATATAAATAAGTTTACTTAAATTGCATATAAGCCCTTTTGAATCATCTAATTCTCACAAAACATCCCACCCCCAAATTGTCCAATTCTCTGCAAGGACGGCATCCCACCCCAAATTGTTCAATTCTCTACAAGGATGACACACTGTGAATATTTGCTCCACCAGGATGAAGCCGGCCAGCATCGCGAGCTCCCGATTGAGGGTCTCGTTCGAGGTGATCGGAATCGGACATCCACCGACGGATGTTCACCAACGAACGGACACCTAATTTTTCATGAGCGGGCGGCCGACGGTGTCTGAAGAGAGCAGTCGGAGGACGGCGACGGCGGATGAGCAGTAGCGGACTGGCGGTTGGGGCTGCGTGTCGATCCGTCACTCTGTGTGTGTGTGTCGTTTTTCTATTTTTGTGTGTGTGTTTGTGAGAGAGACAGAGAGAGGCACAGAGAGATGGAGAGAGCGGGCGCTGGCGGCGGTGGCGGACTGACGGTGGCGGGTTGTGTAATGAGCCTTGACTGTGTGTTTTCTCGATTTTTTTGTTTGTGTGTGGGGAGAGGGAGAGCGATCGATCTCGAGAAATCGGCGAGGGGCGGTGGCAGCCGCGGACGGGCGATGGCGGCGGCTGACCGGCGGAGGCTGAGTGGTGGTGGTAGGTTGTGACTGTGTGTGTGTGTCGATTGTATGTGTGCGTGTGTGTGTGAGAGAGAGCGAGAGAGCGAGAGAGAGAGAGAGA